CATTGTTTTTTATTTTGAGGCACTGGTTTCAAAAGTAATTGTTACCCAGAAACTGTGCCAGTCATATCAAAGCCTAGGACGCTGGCAGAGAGACTCCAAAACTGTAAGCTTTATAAAGCAGATTTTTTTTTTTTGCTTTATTACTAACATTGAGAACAGTGATTCACATGAACTGTGGGGTCAATATCTGTTCAGTGACTAGCAAACCGACAAACAGTTTAGAAATATATGTGAAATACAAAACATTGCTCTGGAATGGATAATTATGATAGTTATGATGGTGGTGGCGATGGTGGTGGTGGTTAGATGACATTGAGTCAGTTCTAAGTCATAAATATAGGTCAGGTCTTAAAGTGACCTATATATAATAGAATTTATAGAAAGAGAAACAGTAGGGATAAATGTAATTGTGTGATTTTTTTCCTTCAGCTATTATATCATACTCATTCACTAACTCATTGTCATTGAGTCAGAATGCACTCGTAGCTAACCTTCTAGAGAATTTTCCAAGATTATAAATCACACAGAAGAGATTGATCACCTTCCTTCAAAGGCGGCTCTGGTAGATTAGAATTGAGAGAGAGAGATGCAAGCTGTGAACTAGCAACTACATTCTACAAAATTTGAGCTAATTGCAATAAAATCCATATACAATAAGGTCAACAAAATGAAAATAAAAGTAAAATGAAGACATAAAACACTAACAGCACGATAAATGCAAAGAAAAAGACACTGTGCTCATTAGAAAGCAGCTAAAAACTAAAGGAAGCAACAGTCCAAAGAAAAATTGCCTGTAAAGGTAAGTTAGGAACTGACAACTTACATTTGAATAGAAACAGCAGAAGCTAAAAGACAATGGAATACTGTTCTCAAAAACACAGAAATAAAGCTGTCAGTGTAGGATTCTACTTTGCATGACAGCAACAGCAGCCTTGCTTTTTAATTGAAGTTAAATTCCCGTTATGTACAATTAACAATTGCAAAAAATGTTTTACTTCAGTGTCATTTAGTGCATTCACAAGGTGAAATAATCACCACTTATCCCTCGTTTCATTTCCCAGACTTTTTTTTCACCCCAGAAGAACATCTCATCCTTATAATCATTCGTATTTCCCTCCTCTCTCCTGGAATCTCTCAATATACTTTTGACTCTATATAGGTTTATTTATGGTTCCTATAAGGTAGGGGTCAGAGATGTTTTCTTTTCCAGCATCTTTATCAATTTTGTTCTATCCATGGTATTCTGTTTCTCTTCTGCATTTGATAAATCACTGCAATGGCCACATGGTTCACAAATAATATTCATTCATAATTATGGGGTTGATTTTGGAAATACAATATTACAATTCAGAGCCAGCAATGACTCAGGATTGAACACAAGTAAGCCTATGCTAACTTCTCACTCTCACTCTCTTTTGTTCTAGTTCTAACTTTGCACATCTTCACTCATAAACAAAGTCTAGTCCAGAGCAAATCATGAAATTTCAATATTTTTTTTTAATTCACAATGTCAAATATCTTTTCATTCACTCATTGCTAACCTCTGTTGGCTAGGTCAGTAGATACCAGCCACACCTGTACATACAACCAACTTCCCTGTACTTCAAAACAGTCATTATTTCTCTTTTCTTGTCCTTGTATGTTCATCAACTAGAACTGCCCAGAGGTTCAGAAGTCCACAGGACTCTGGGCTTCAGATCTTCCAGCTGGTATTTCCTCTTTCTTTTTCTTTCTATCTAAGTAGATAGATAGATGATAGATAGATAGATAGATAGATAGATAGATAGATAGATAGATAGATAGATAGATTTTTCATCCTTAATGCCCCCCCATGAGTCATTGGAACCTTTGGAATAAGTCCAAATTATCTTGGAGTCAGGGCTCTATGAGGACAAATGTAGCATCAAAATTGGAGGAAGACTCATCAACAATCTACATTATGCAGATGACACAAGACTGCTTGTTAAATGAGGAGGACCTGAAGCACTTGCTGCAGAAGGTCAAGGAGTGAAACCTTCAATATGAATTGAAGCTTAATATCAAGAAAACAAAGACTCTCACCACTGGGCCAATTGGCAGCATCGTGATGGTTAGTGAAGAGATTGAGATTGTCAACAGCTTTAGTCTGTGTGGCTCCACAATCAATTATCTTGACACCAGCAGCCAGGAAATTAAAAGATATATTGCATTGGGAAAGTCTGCTGTCAGAGACCTCTCCAAAGTACTGAAGAGCAAGACTGTCAATCTGGAGACTAAAGTGAGCCTGATGCAGGCCATGGTCTGTGCAATCATTTGTTATGCATCAGAGAGCTGGACAATGGCTAGGGATAACAGAAGGAGAATTGATGCCGTGTTGGAGAAGAGTATTAAATATACCATAGACTGCTAAGAGAATGAATAGGTTTATCCTGGAGAGGGTGAAGCCAGCCTGCTCCTGGGATTCAAGGATTCTGAAGCTTCTTCTGACATACTTTGGACATGTTGCAAGGGAGGACCAGTCCTTGGAGAGGGATGTCATGTTTGTGAGGGTGAAGGGACAGCGCAAGAGAGGAAGATCCTCAATAAGATGGATTGATTCAGTGACTGGAGGAATGGAGATAGGTGTATTAGGGACAGTAAGATTGGCTCAGGATAGAGCAGGGTTTAGTGCTGTTGTAAATAGGATTGCAGGTGACTCTATAGCACATAACAACAATAACATCTCATCGTTGCTATACCCTCTGTCTTACACTCTCTCATATCTTGTGTTATAAGATGTGACAATCTCAAGAGCATATATTAGTTGTCTATTCACTCACTAGCTCTTTTTAACTTCCCATCCTGGATGGTGGTTCTTCTAATGGGTACTGACTTTTTCTGCCTTACTTCCTAACAGCAAATCATTTGTTCAATAAAGTTTCCCCCCATCAGTCTTTCCTTCATATTCAACTATCCTGCTCTCTTAACATTTCTGGGTGGTTCTACATGTTTTTCAAATTTAAATTTCCTAGGAAGATCCTGAGCAGGTTTTTTGATTTTGAGCTAAACCCTTGAAACTCTATGCATAAGGCTATTGTATTCAAACCAATACTGTATGTATCTTTTGAGTAAACTCTAGCTCACCTTCTGCATCTCTAGTAAAAAAATTGACTGAAAACAGAGTTACAAGCTTTATGTAATAAATAATACACAATACTTCTTTCCATCACACATTCAGATATGTTTTGCAATATTAGATGGAAGAAATATTGAATATCCATAATATTTCAACTAAACACATACCTCCTTTTTCTATTATTTTTTTAAATTCATTTTAATGAAAGTTTACAGAGACTTAGGGTTTCTAGTAATTCATTGTTGCACTTTTCTGCCCCCCCCATTCACTCTTCTCCTTGAAAAGAAAGAAAAACTCTTTAATTGTTATGCAATCCCTCCCTCCCAAGTTCACTCCACAATGCAGCCTTCACTCTGGAATTCTGTAATGACAAGAATACCCAATCATGTATCCCTTGTAAACAGTTCTCTCCCTCCTCTGTTTCAATGCACTAAATATATTCCTCCCCTCCTTTTCTGTCTTCCCTCAATCCTGATGTTAGTCCCTTTTTACGCATTCCTTTTAAACAAGGTATCTTCTCTTCTCCTCAACTGCACTTTCACATACTGAAAGTAAGTTAAAGATTTATGGTACAAAAATGGATTTTTCTCACTCCAAAAATTTCATCAGAAGCCCCATCATGGACACTACACATTAGAGCTTGAAGTTTTGGGTTTTGAAAATAAGATCTTAGCCTTTCTCTCCACCAGAGACCATGTTTTCTCTTTAACATAAATTACTGGTAGTTTCTGGACTGGTTTCTTGAATTTCCCCAGACAATTAGAAGACATTTTCTAGCCTTTTAATTTTTCCTAAACTTTCACCTAAAGTCTTCTTTTTACACACCTAACTACCTAGCCCCTAGTAATAGTTTGGAAGAAATTTCTTTGCAAAGATCCAGTGGGGACCTAAAAATGCAACATAATGGTGGGCATGGATCAATGGTAATTAATTTTCTAAAATACAATGTATGGGAATGATCATATGAAACATTATGAGTGGAGGAGTGTGTGAAACACACTGCATATAAACAAAACACAACTTTTAGTTGCAGATCAATATAAAATAAAATTTTAAAAAAAAGCAAAATTGGTGAAGTAGTAGCTTAGCTAATAAAGAATATCTAGATTGAACTTCATACTATTTAAAGAATCATCTATATAAGATCAAACTGGCAATAGAAACTTAATGATTAGATCAGAAATGTAGGAACCAGTGAGTTTATGTTAATGGGAGAGGAATAATTTTTAAAAGGAGGTTGAGAATGGTAGCCCAACTTAAAGAATGTAAACAATGTGATTGAATTGTTTAAACATGTAGAAATTGGTGTATGTTTTACTGTGTAGATTATAAAAAAGTTTGTTTTCAAAATTACTTAAAATTCCAAAGTTTAAAGTTCTTGAGTTCAGCTCTAAACAAAACAAAAAGACTTTATGAAGATGCCATTAAGAAGAGATAGGAACTTTTAGACTCTGGAAAGATGTCAATGCAAAGAAGTCTCAATATGAATATTAGCTTTCACACACATAGCTCCTATCTGTAAAGCTGGTTCTTCAGTAAACTGCTGGCCAACATTTCAGTGGCTTACTTTTTTCACTTCAGGCTAAGGTAAGGCCACTTTCCCCCTTCTTTTCTTCCTTCTGTGACATAACATTCTGAAGAGCTCAGTTTTGCTCCAGGGCATTCTTATTCATTTATTAGTGACTTGGAGTAAAAAGAAGACCTCAGTGCTTCCAAGTTTTCCAGAACTCAACACCTCTGAGAAAGATGAAGCCATCCTCCCTTGAGAAGCTCTTATCTCAACCTTTCTATCTACTCTTTCTCTTGGGTACATCTCTGTTGCTTATACAAACTGTCAGGTTATACCAGAGAAGAAAGAAGTTGCTCAGGTTCCTGAGCCTATTCCCTGGACCTCCTGCCCACTGGTTATATGGACACCAAAAGGTAAGAAGAGGAAGTAAGTTAATTAAGGTTAAGGAACAGAGGGAAGGAAACATTAAAACAACAGATTTGCAAGGCGTTGTATCTTTCACTTGCAATATACTTGCTTCCCCACAGGTAGTCTCATCTTTACTTCACAAATGTCCTACAATATATAGAAAGAAATTATAATTATTCCTGTTTTAAAGATGAGATAAGTGAAGCCTAAGATGGAAATGTAGCTTGTTTCTCATGTTATTTACGTCAAATAACAAGATGAAACTTGAACTACAGTCTTCTTCCAAAACCAGAGTGCTTACCACTCAGAGACCGCTGGTGTTTCAGGAAGAATTTGACAGATACTCAAAGATTTCAGGGTTTCTTAACAAGCTGGAAATGGGGATGCCATCCAGCTATCACATTATTCACCTCAATTTAGGATGCTTCTTGGAAAAAGGGACAGCAAAGCTTCATTTCACATATTTTGGGCATGTTATTAGGATGGGCTATACCTTCAAAAGGGACTTCATGCTTGGAAAGGTAAAAGATCAACAAAGAGAGGAAGACTCTCAATGAGAAGCATAGACACAGTGATGGTGACCATGGGCTCAAGTATGTCAGAGATGATGAGGATAGTGCAAGATAGGACAAGGTTCAGATCTGCTGTTCAATAGGGTGTCTGTGAGTCATACATGACTCTGGCACACAACAACACAATTAGAAAGGACAGGAGATACCACTAAGCAGTATAATGAAAATGGTTCTGATGGTTCTGATACAGAGATAGAGATAGAGATATATTACATAAGCATATTAAAAATAGGATAAGCTTTTTAAAGCATAAAATACAGCAGCATTAAAAAGTTAAATTAAAAACTGGAAGAAAATACACTGGATTCAATAGGACAAAACAATGTCAGACAAGTTAAAATTAAAGGAAAGTGAGGAAAAACCAGAAAAGAAGTATTGACTCATTGTGATTACATAAGCATTAAAATAATATTAAATATAGGAGAAGCCTATTCTACTATGTCTTAATAACATATCAAGTTCATATTTGAGAGAGGAAGATGAAGGAATGAAGTTGTTATTAAATACTTACACCAGGCATGTTAAATTTTTAATTACAGTTAATTTTCACAGCAATTTTATGAAAGAGTTATCTCTATCATGCACATGAAAAGCTGAAGCTTCAAAGTTCTAGGTTATGAGAAGTGGTGGGCTGTAGTATTACTGTAAATCTGTGTAGCCCCAAAGCTTACTTTAATCTCTACTTGACCTCATGACCTCATGACCAACTCTCCTAATACTCCACAGAACATAGAATCTATTGCTGGACCCAGTGAACTATGTTATAATCACATCTGTTGAAATTTTCTTATGTCATAATTTTTTAAGAAATGGAGTTTTTTTAAAAAAAAGAAATGAAGTTTGATATTTTTTTCCTCCATAAGGCCGTTTTCAAGTAGTTCCAGTCTTTCTATTCTCATTCCTGTGGAAGGAGGAGTGGCATCCACTTCCATAATAGCTTGCCTCCGGAAACCCTATGAACTTGGAGAGAGGATGAAAGGCACCCAAGCATCAGGGACTCTCCTTCATAGGGTCGCTATGAGTCGCCTGCGACTCGACGACACTTAACAACAACATTCTCATTCCCATAACTTTCACCCAAGTCTCTGCATGTCAACTTCACACCTGACTCATTTCCTCTCCCACAATGTGTCAAATCTTTTCATTATTCTATGCCTCTGCACATTATCTTTCACCAGAATTTTTTCAGTTAAAAATCTTCATACAATAGATATCCTTTAAAGTTCATTTCAAATATGCCCTGCCAATTAAAGCCTCCTTCTCATCACACAGAAGTCTTGGTTGTTCCTCCCTCTATAACCTTCTATTCAAAGAAGATGGACTGAGTCTCACATAGGGTTGTTGTTGTTGTTGTGTGCCCTCAAGTCGCCTGCGACTCATAGAAACCTTATATACAACAACCCTAAACCCTGCTTTATCCCTTGCCAATCTTACTGTCTCCAACACACCTATCCCCATCACTCCAGTGACTGAATCAATCTATCTCATCACATAGGGTTTAGAGGACGTAAAATTATATAAATTTAAACTGTAGTCAATAATATCTAGGAAATTATTTTGTTGAAACAAATTACATGATCCATTTTGTTCTTCAGGAAGATTCATTAGCTCTGATGACAGAGTAGACACTGTAGAGTTTGCATTGTAACAGGACAGGTTGGAGTGAGAAGAACATTCAGCCAATATGTCCCTTGTATCAAGAAGATGCAACAGAGGTGCCGGAGACACATACAGAAGAAGAGAATATACCTTCATCCATATGTGAATCACTAATTAGGTTCCATAGAAAGATCTGGTGCCTTTGTTGGAAGAAGCTGAACTGCAATACCGAAGGCAAACAATTTGAATCTACCAGCTGCTCCATAGGAGGTAGATAGATTCTATAAGCGCTGAATTTACTCCATGATCCAACTGAAAGGAGCAAGTTTCTTCTGGTGTGATATTTCCACTAACTTACTATAATTTATCTCCAAAGTTTTACCCAGAAAAAGAACTTGCGTTATATGATGAGATGGTGAAAAAATACCCATGTGCTGTGCCCATCTGGATAGGACCCTTTACAATGTTCTTCAATATCTATGACCCAGACTATGTAAAGACTCTACTGAGCAGAAAAGGTAAGATCAATGAAAACCTCGGGCGGGTACTGTGGACTGAATTGTGCCAACCCAAAAAATGCATCATTAATCCTACTCTACATCTATGGCTGCAATCCAAGTCGAGAGTATGTTTTTCTTTATTACATTAATTAAGCTATATTAGTGTACAGTATATCTTAAACCATTTGAGAGAACCTTGATATACACAAATAAAATTGGATGGATAACACAGGATCTGCAACAATGGGCTCAAGTACAGCAAATGTTGATTGTAAGGATGGTTCAGATGAAGAAGTTTCATTCTGTTGTACTCAGATTCACTCTTTGTAATAGCCAATTCCATGGCTCCTAATAACAGCAATGACTAATGATGCTGCATATCCATTCACATGTTTATTAGTGATTCGTATTTCTTTTATTTTAATAACATTTTTATTTCATACTGGCTTACATACAAAGTTTTTATACATTTTTTTCACACCAGATCTTTCCCATTTTCTTTGCCCATCCCTCCCTCCACCCATCATATTGTGTGGCCTTATGATTAACCACTCCCTGCCCCCCCACCCATCCTTACCCCTCTGCTCCCCTCCTCCCCACCCTGGATCCTCATACACATTCTACAATAATGCTCTTATACAGTATTTGTCCCTATGGGATTGAGTTAGTTCTAGCATAATGCTCTCCGGTCCTGCCTAAGTTAGATAGTGATTTACAAAATCATTGCTCCTGCACAGTGTAGTATTCTATTGCGTGAATGTACAATAATTTCTAAAACCATTCAATTGTGGATGTACATTCATACATCAGTGTTCTTGTGATAGTGAATAGTGCTGCTAAGAACATTGGTGTACAAGTCTCCATTTGTGCCTCAGTTCTTTTCTCAGGGTATATACCAAGCAGTGAAATAGTTGGGTCATATGTAATTTCTATGTTCAGCTTTGTGAGGAAAAGCCAAACTGCCTTCCTTGAGTGGTTGTACCATTTTACAATCCCAACAAGAGTTTCTATCTCATCACATCCTCTCCTGTTAAACTTTGCTACTGCTACTGGGGTGAGATGGCATTTCATTGTGGTTTAGATTTGTATCTCACTAATTGCCAGTGATTTTGAGCATTTCTTCATGTGTCTGTTGACCACTTGAATATTTTCCTCTGTGAAGATTCTATGTCTTTCGCCCATTTTAAAAATTGTGTTATCAGTCTTTTTCTTGTGGAGGCCCTATAGGATTCTGTAAACATTTTATATGAGACCCATTTCAGAACGGCATTGCCAAATGCTTTTTTCACAGTCAGTAGGTTTTCTTTTCACTCTGTTGGAAAATGTCTTTTATGCACACAAGGATTTAATCTTTAAAAGGTCCCATTGATCGATTTTATCCTCTCCAGACTGCATTTCTGACTGTAGTTGGAAGTCTTTTTATACTACGGACTAGCCCATCTAAGCTTGATCTCAGTTTGTTTCTGATGAGCTTTATGGTTTTGGGCTTTATTTCCAGGTCTGTGATCCACCTTGAGTTGCTTTTTGTGTCTGGTGTGAGATATATATTTATCTAGAGAAAACTTTCTTGCTCATTTTAAATGTTGTTGTTGAACATTTGTCATATAGTCTAACTATTGACTGCCTAGTGAGGAAAGAGGGACCCTGATGACTTAGTGGTAAGAAACTGTATTGTCAGCTCAGAGGCCTGGAGATGGACAATGCCATCCCATGCAATTTACTGCCTATGAAAACCTACTAGAGAGGCAGCTATGGATTGGATCTGACATGTTAGTACACAACAGCAACAAGAGTGGGGAAGGAGTTGCACTGCCAACCCAAAGGAAGGTAGTTTGAATCTACCATTTCCTCAAATGAGAAAAAGATATGCTGTCCCCTCCCATGATATTTACAGCCTCTGAAAACCCATTTAAAGGTCAGCTATGGGTCAATTCCAACTAAATGACAATGAGCTGAGTTTGAGTTGGCATTCTTACCTGATAAATGATTTATAAATCTTTTGTCATTCTCTGAGATATTTTTGTACTCATGATTATTTTCTTTAATACACAAAACATTTATTTATCATTTAAAATTTTATCAAGTCTATTTACTCCATACTTTTTTCTTTTATTATTCATGATTTTGGTGAAATACTGCTAATCCAATGCCATGAAAATTTACTTCTGTGTGTTACTATAAGAGCTACATCATTCTAGCCCTTCACTTTGAATCTTTGATACATTTTTATTTACTTTTTGGAGTGAAGGAAGGCTCTAACTTAATTTTTTTTTCCATATGACTCTTCTACTTTTCCAGAATCTCTTAGTGAAGAGGGTATTTCTTCTACTTAATGGCCTGAGGTATTTCTCTTACTTAATGGCCTTCACATCCTTGAAGAAAAATAATTGATAAAAACTTTATTTGAAGATTTATTTTTGGACCTTTATTTCCACTCCATTGACCAATATGTCTATTTTTATGCCTTCATCACAATGAATTTGATTACTGTAAGGGATCTATGGTGGCCTGGTGAAAAGAATCTGTGCTGCAATCCCAAAGGCCCACAGTTCAACTCCACCAGCTGCTCCTTGGGAGAATAGATAATCTCCTCCCATGTGATACACTGCCTCTGAAATCCTGCTGGAGGGTCAGCTTTGAGTCAGTTCCCATTTCAAGAGCACACAACAACTTTGGATAATGGAGCTCTGATGGTCTAATGATAAGAAGCTGCATTGCACACTCCAGCCACATGGTTTGAATCTACAGCTGCTCTGCAGGAGAAGGTTAGGCAAACTTCCTTTGCCTCTGAATTTACAGCCTCTGAAAACCCACTGGAGGGTCAGCTATGAATCAGTTCCAACTCCACAGAATACAACAACTTTGTATAAGGTTTTGAAATTGAGAAATGTGAGTTCTCTAACTTTATTCTTTTCCAACATTGTTTTGACTATTCAGGGTCTATTACAATACCATATTAACTTCAGGTTGGTTTGGTGGTGTGTTTTTTTCTTTTTCTGCAATAAGAGCCAATAGGATTTTGATAGAGATTGCCTGAATCTGTTGACCATTCTCTAGTGGGTAGTCCTCAGGTAGTTGTACTGCTAACTGAAAGGCTAACCATCTCTAGCAATTCAAATCCACTAGTGGCTCCTTAAAGGAACTCTGATGGCATAGTGGCAAGAAGCTACACTGCAATCCCAAAGGCACAGAGTTCAAGGCCACCAGCTGCTCCATATGCTCCTCCCATGAGATTAACTGGTTTTTAAAACCTGTCTGAGGGCCAGCTAAGGGTTGGCTCTGACTTTACAGTACACAACAACAACAGTGGTTTTAGGGGGGAAAAATAAACAGTCTTCCCCAGTAAGACTTACAACCCCAGGAATCTGATGAAGATCCCCTGGTGAAGTTAGAAGTGAGTTTGAATTTTAATTTCAATATTAACAATATTGAATATTGTGTGCCATGAACTTCTTTCAATTATTAAGTTCTTTAGTATTTTTCAGCAATGTTTTCTAGTTTTCAAAGTACAAGTGCTGCACTTCCGTGGTTGTATTAATTCTTACATACTTTGTTCCTTTAAATATTATTATAAGTAGAATTGTTTTCTTAATTTCCTTTCAAACTTTTTCATTTTTTATGTTTTGATCTTGTATCTTGTAACTTTGCTGAAGTCATTTTATAATTTCCACATATATGTGTGTATTGACTTCTTCACGCTATTTTACATCACTAATGTTACCTGACAATAGTAGTTTTGCTTTTTCCTTTTCAATTTGTATGTCTTTTTGTCATCGTTATTTGAGTGAGTTTACAAAGCATATATTTTAATAATTCGTGAAAATTTTGGTACATAAATTAACTATAATATTTGTTGTTGTTGTTGTTATGTGCCGTCAAGTCGCCTGCGACTCATAGCGACCCTATGTACAACAGCCCTAAACTCCACTCTGTCCTGTGCCAATC